AGCCAAGAGGGTTTAGGGTTTAGGGGTTTAGGGGTTTAGGGGTTTAGGGGTTTAGGGGTTTAGGGGTTAGGGTTTAGGGTTTAGGGTTTAGGGTTTAGGGTTTAGGGTTTAGGAGTATGAGTTAGGGACCCAAAAAGGACATAAGCATAAGCATTTCATAGGGATATCCCTACCGTATTGGGCTTCTTTACAGGGGGGGGGGGTTGCATGGGATATCCCAATCCTAATTTTTGCTGATGTGTTTGTGTGTGGCCCCAGTATGGGGGCTCGCTTAAATGGGGTTGTAGTGTTCATTGAAAGGGCTGTTATAGGGGATATTGGGTTCCTTTAAATGGGTTTAGAGGGTTCCTTCAAAGGGGTGTTACAATATGAGGTTCCCTCAACTGTTCCCCCAAACTCTCCCGTGAAAACTTAGCCAAGGAGTTAATGGCTGCAAATGTTCGCATCGTGCTGCTCTGCAACCCGGTCTCCGGGAGTGACGAGGAGCTTTTTAAGGGGCGCTCCTTGAGGGTTTCGGGTTTAGGGTTTAGGGTTTAGGGGTGGGCTTCTGTGTCTGTAAGGCTTTCATGTGAAAGGTTTACTATAAGGGGTACCTAATTCGGTTCTCGAAGGGCTCTCTATGAGGTTCGGGGTTTTGTGGCGGATTTCAATAGAGGTTTGGGGTCTTGCAGTCTGGGGTTTACGGGACCTCGGCTCATGGTTGGCGTCACTGTATTCCACTGCTCCTACTTTCGGTTTCATTTCATTTCAATCAACCAGGCGTTTAGACGAGTTCGAACGCTTTGTTGGAAGGGCTTTACAAGCGCTGGAGGCTTGTGTGCAGCGGCACGGCTCAGCATTCAAGGCCTCAGGCTTGTGGATTTTGCGGAACAAGAACAGCAAAAGGAAGAAAAGCAACAGCAACACTGAAGCTCGTAGTCGTCGTGGTGGCTGTATGAATAAAGAGCGTTAGTAGAAGGCTACCTATTGTTATCATCCTCGCTGAGGGAAGAGGGGAAACAGGGGTCTACATTACCTCCAAGTCTAAAGCCTCAATCTTAAACGGAGAAGCTTGACACCCCAAACCTCCACCAAATAGCTTGAATACTTAAGTTCTGGGGTTCCTTATCAGTTGTGCCTAAACCCTAAACCCTAAACCCTAAACCCCTGAACCCTAAACCCATATATGTATGAACATGAACACATACCCAAAACCCACTCCCCCCAGAGACATGCAGGCCGCCATATCAATTTTGTGTGCTTTTTCTGAGAGTTTCTGAGGTATCCTTCATTTATTCGGCCATGAGGGCTCCCATTCAGGATCTACAGCGTTTAGGGTTTGGGGTTTAGGAAGTGTTGCGTAAGAGTCCTGTATGTTGATCAGGTTTGTGGAATAATGGGCTTCGGGCCTAAACCCTAAACCCTAAACCCTAAACCCTAAACCCGTCATAAACCCCAAACCTCCAGGCAGGGCCCCCACCAAAGCCGGAAACCCTGAGGCCACTGAAGTATTTTCATATGTGGCCTTATTGGGTCTAAGAGGATCTTTTTCACCAAGCCTTAATCCCTTTTTGAGCCCTTAAAGGAACCTTTGACCCTGAACCCCCTGCAGGCCTGGTCGTTTGATCCGAACACCGGATGCTCGGCTGCACTGGTTTCAGAGCGCTTGGTGCATCCGGATATTTAGAACTTAAGGTGTTGGGCTTCAGAGTTTTAGGCTCCCAAGGCCTTTTTCCCCAAGTCCGTCCCATGGAAGTTTGATCTCCTTTCGCGGCGCTTCTTAAGTCTAAGGATGGCAATGGCCAAGAGCTGCCCTGCCCTCCCCTGCCCTCCCCTGCCCTTCCCTGCCCTTGCCGCCCGCCCGCCCGGCCGGCCGGCTTGCTGCTTGCTGGCTTGCTTGCATCCTTCTTGTTCGTTCTCTGCGTCCTGCATGCCTTACCAGTCTGTCCGCCAAGCTTTACCACGTCAAGGTTTGAAACGAAGATGTAAAACTATCGTGACTATGGCACGCATATTTCATCTACCCCGGCTCAGATCTGGATGTACGTTAGGTTGAGGGTTTAGGGTTTAGGGTTTAAGGTATTACACATATACATGCTGATCCAAAGCTCCAAAACACGTCGGCACCCTCCTTTCTCAACCCTTTAGAACATGGTTGACGGTCCTGGGTGGTGATTCAAGGAGTTGTGATTGAAGTGCCGTGATCGGGGTTACAATTACATGAACATGTCGAGTTTATAAAGTTTGTTCATCGTTCATGTAACCTGGATGCTATGCCCTGAAGCCCCACAAATCTTGAATGCTTGCTATTAGCCCTAATATCAGCCGGAGCCCTTCAAGTAACTCTTTCGAACACTCCCCGACCCCACTCCCCGAGTCTAAGACCTACAGGCCTAAGCCGTAAGCCCTGGAACTCTGGCGCAACGGGTCAAGTGCTGCACTGGCATGCAGATTTTGCACGCCAGGCCTTGGCACTGCAAGAAGGTCTGGTGAATGCATTAAGAGCTGCCGAAGGACGGCGCATCGCCGACCTTCCCCAGGCAGAGGCCCAGAGGGCGAGAGAAGCTAAGCATGGGGCCGCAGCAGTAGCGCAGTTGACCGAACTGCAGCTCCACCAAATGGGGGTTTCCGAAAAAAGGGGACCCTAATATAGTACCCTAATTAATAGGATCCCTATTATAAGGACCCCAAAACAAGGTACCCTAATTTTCTGCAGCTCCACCAAATGGCCGGGCACATGGCCTCAAGCTCCAGAACACCCGGACAGCAGGCTCCTTCCACACCGAGTGGGGCCGTGCTCGGCAAGGCAGCTTGTTCAGCCAGACGAGCTCGGTGCCAAAAGTGCGCGGCTTGCAAAATGTGCCTAGAAGCAACTAGAACCCCAGATCCTCAACCCCAAAACACCCAAAATCCTTAAGCCCAAAACCACCAAAACCTCTCAAAACCCCCTTAAAGGAACCGCCCAAAAACAACGTTAGGTCACCTTTTAGGTTGCTCTCCGAGGTTCCTACCAACGCCTTGCAGCGCCTCTGAAGCCGCGGATCAGCCCGGGTCTCGCAGCGACGAAGGCGTTTGGGTGTGGGGTTTCGGGTTTGGGGCTTCAGGGTTTAGGTGGTTTAGGGTTTAGGGTGCTTCGGGTTTAAGATCTAAGGTGTCGGGTTTGGGTTTTGGGGGCATTGGAGTTTAGGGTTTCGGGTTTGGAGTCTCGGGCGCAGGTTGTCAACCCTTCAGTGTCACAATGTCGGAGGAGTGGCGTACCTAAACCCTAAACCCTAAACCCTAAACCCTAAACCCTAAACCCTAAACCCTAAACCCTAAAGTACCCTTTTGGGAGTCAGCAGAGGAACCCTTTGGTTGACATTTAGGGGGCCTTAACCAATCAGACTAAGTATTCCTTAAGGTGGGGCCTCGGCACTTAGGACCCAGGATAGTGTTCCTTCATCGGCTCGAAGGCTCCTTAGCATAATGTAGGGGCCTCAATAATTACCTATATCATTTTGGGGGGCTCCTTATTATTTTTGGGGCTCCTTATTATAAATCTACTATACAGGACCCCAAAGCCTTACTCAAATTATCAAGGCCCCTATATATTAAGTATGGTGGTGCCTTAAACCCTAAACCCTAAAGGACCTCGTAGAAAGTCAAACGGATCGGCTGGGCCAGGGCTTTTGCTTCGTCGTGGGAAGCACCGGCTCTTCGCGCCTCCGACAAAAGAGTGGGGAAAAGGATGGCTTTACATTTGTTCTTTGGGTTTAGGGTTTAGGGTTTGGAGAAGGATGGTTTTAGTTTTTGTGTTTTGTTTCTTGGGGGGAGGGGGAGTTGAGGGGTCAAATTTTGATTTGATGCCGACGGGTTTAGATTCAGGGTGTTGGTGTGGGGCGCAGAGCTGGCTTTGGATTGAAAGGTTTGCTTGAAGACTTGTGGTCGGTTGTCATCGTCTTGCGGGCTTCGTTGAGAGATTATGAACGTGTTCCTACTTGCCTGGATCTTCAGCCCAGACCCTGGCCCTAAATAAACCGCCCTCAGGCTGCTGCCAGCAGGAGCTTTTTCAAGGGTTCTGAAGAAATGCGTAGCAGTACCGTGCATTAGGGTTCCCCAATATTGAAACTATAAAGCAGCATGCACCCCAAGACCATTCAACATAATCAGTCTCTTCATATAGCACCCCAAACACCCCAAAAGGATCAGAATCCCCTAAGCCCTGAACGCTTACATCCCGAATGCAGTTGAGTTTGGGCTATGTGAGTAGCGGATCTCTTCAACTTCTGATCCTTTAGAGAAGCATGATCCTTATTTGAGTGCCTCATCCGAAAGGTTCAACTGTACCCCCGTTCGCTAGGAAACTGGACAGGTTGACGTTGATGGCATTTCATGGCCAAGCGAGCGGAAACAATGTTGCGTTATGCTTGCACAGGTTTCAGGTTTATGTATGTATGTATATATATATATATATATATATTTATGTAACAATAAGAGAGAGAGAGAGAGAGAGAGCTATATATATATATATATATATATGGGCTATGGAAAACGTTGAGGCTTGTTGAAGCTTTGCATCGAAAGGCTTGCCATAGTCATAGGACTTGCCAGGCCCTAGAAAGCGTGACCAGAGGTGGGGGCCTTAACAGCTACCTATATTATTTTGGGGGGCTCCTTCTTATGGTTATAGTAGAATGGGCCCCAAAACCGCATTCTAATACCTCTATTATTTTGGGGGTTCCTTAGACTGATTATAGTAGAATGTGCCCCCAAAGCCCTATTCTAATTTTTAAAGCCCCTACCCTAAGCCCTTAACCGTGAAACCTAAATCTTTCATATAGAATAGGGTTTGTGGGTATCTTTTTGCTACTACAATTATCAGGATCCCCCAAACTAGTATAGGTAATTATAGAGGCCCCGATGTTAAAGCTTTCATAGACAAAGGTAGGGCCATCCTGCGGGTGGAAGCCTTTGCACACGCACTCACCCAAACAGGGTTTAGGGCTTAGGACCTCTCGCAGAGTACAATCCTTAATCAAGGAAGTTTTAAGATCGGAATCAAAAGAGGAAGATGACATGATTTCAGGTACTTAGTTAGCCAATAGGAGAACTTTAAACTTTTTGGCCTTATATATTTGCTCTATCCTAAAAAGTTTGAACTTTTTAGGGCCTGGTTGTTGAAGAAGGGAGGGTACCCCTCCCTTTGGGGGGCTCTCTGGGTTCTGTCAGGTTGCTCCAAAGAGCCTGCACCAGTGCAGACAATCCCTGGGCCAGGACAGCCACAAGGGGCTTCAAGGTGTGTCTGATGTCGGGGCATGCATATCATTAACGTGGGGGCCTAAATAATTACCTACTGTATATCTTTTTTTTTTGAGGGGGGGGGGGTCCTTATTATAAATATAGCATAATATATCCCCCAAAACCCTATATTCTAAGCTACATTATTTTGGGACTCTCCTGAATTTAGCGTTGCAGGGTTTACACGGCACAGGACACGTAGGATCTCTGGGGACGATGGGGCTGTGTATAACATAGAAGCCTAAATAATTACCAATGGTACTGTTAGGGGTCCTTATCATCATAATGCTATAGAGGAGCCCAAAACCCTGTTCTAATTACTAAGGCCCGTACAGCAACAGCTTTCTTTAGGGTTTTGCAAATGGTTTCTGCAGCAGTAGTCTGGGCTGAGGGCTATTGCGGCATTTCTCGCGCGTATGGCATAGACACGGTGTAGGCATTATCAAAACTTCAACAGATGACACCCTAAACCCTTAGACTTTAACACGTTATAAACCCTAAGCATTTGTACAACTTATACCCTGCTTTCCTAAATCCCGATCTGGGGTGCATGGAAAGCAGTTTCTTCGGAGGCTCCGATTCCTGGGTTCAGGATCTAGGATGCTTAGTGGGACAGGAAGCCTCGACAGTTAGAGCATTTCGGCTTGTGGGGCATGTCGTAGTATACTTCTACAGGGAGTAGAATAGCAAAACAGTCCTCAGCAGTACGGGGCTTAGCTAGGCGAATTATTTTCTGAAGTGTAGGGTATTCGGAAGTTGCGTATGCGTATGTGGGATGTAGACAATCATCCCCCCCCCCCCAATATAACATGCTATGCAGTCACATCAGACCCGAGCGGTGTGCACTTGGGTATAGACTTCAAGCACGTAGCCCGGAATACTAACCTTACAACCTTACACGAGAAGCCCAGCCAGCTATGCAACTAATTCCGAACGGTGCAGAGCCTTAACCTACCATAAGTTCTCTACTTGTAAAGCCCCAAGACTCCAAGTTGCGCAAAGTAGGTACTATCTCTACCCACAATAGTACGGCACCCTTATAAAAAGGACCCTGAGAGGGACCCGAATAGAGAACTACCCATATGGTTGTTCGTAGGTTTTCAGAGAGGGAAACCGGGTAGGCCCCAAAGTATGGACTGTTTCCGCACTTGCAGTCCCAGTAACTGAGCCTGGGCTTCCAGGATAATTCAGTGAATCTCTTGCAGAGGAGCTGGGGTGAGCGGCTGGCGCCTCGGCAAGATGTTCTTCCGTAATATAGGGGCCTTCATAGTTAGGATCGGGCATTGGGGTATATAGTACAAGTTTCCTACATATCAATATAATCGGGAACGTGCAGGAGCATTGTTCTATTTGTTGCAGGGCCCTGCCACAAAGCCTTAGCTTCCAGATATCTTAAGAGCTTCTATCTTAAACCTCCCAGGTAGACGTTAGCTTCGGAGAACGCGGCTGCTGGGAACCCCTTCCCCGTGGCGGCGAAGGCATCATTTTCTTTTGGGCGGGAGGGGGCCCTAGACCATGAACCCTGAACCCTAAAACCCTAAACCCAAAAGCCCTAAACCCTAAACCCTAAACACTCTACAGAGTTTATGGTTTGAGGGCCTTGGGCTTGGCTTTTGAAGTCTATTAGGTTATCGGGTTGAGTATCTAGGGTTGCAAGGGTTCAGGGATTCTTGGGGTTGAGGTGTGGGCGTAGATCTACCTGAACCTACCATCATCGGGTTGAGTGTGTGGGCCCTAAACCCTAAACCCTAAAAGCTCTAAAAACCCGAAAAACCCTATAAACCCTATAACCCTTATAAACCCTATAAACCCTAAACCCTAAACCCAATAAACCCTAAACCCTAAGGGTGTTGGGTTCAGGCCCGAAACAACGAAGATCCCGAGCTGGAGGATGGGATTGGTTGTCAGGGTTGAAGAGCGCAAGCGCATCTGAAGCGTAGCACGTATGCTGTACCCATATGCCCCATAGTAGTTCCTTTTTGTGGCTTATATTTAGGATCCTATTAGGTAATCCCACAAAGGAACTACCATGGGTAGGCTGTAGGGCCCGGAGAATAGGCTTAGGGTTTGTTGGGGCATATGATATTGTAAGCGTGCGGGGAATGAGAAGACGCAACCCTAAACTCGAAAGCCCGAAGCCCTGGCATGTAAATTTTCAACCCTAGAAACCCTAAACCCCAAAGCCTCAACCCTAAACCCCAAACCCCTAAACTCTGAACCAACCCTAAACCCCTAAACTCTGAACCAACCCTAAACCCCTAAACCCCTAAACCCCTAAACCCCCAAAGCCCTGAACCCTAAACCCCCTAAACCCCTAAACCCCTAAACCCCAGCAGCTGAGAGGCGATGGCACCCATGTAGCCGCCTGTGCCGGGCGCGGCTGCGTCTACGCCTTCGGCGGCCTTCAGACAGGGAAGCCGAGCTCCCAGGTTCGGCCGTTGGGTTCAGGGTTTCGGGTTTGGGGTCTAGGGTTTAGGGTTTAGGCCTTTTAGGGTCTATAGGGTTTCGGGTGTGGGGTTTCAGGGTCTAAGGTTTAGGGTTTTGGGTTCAGGGTTTCGGGTTTGGGGTCTAGGGTTTAGGGTTTAGGCCTTTTAGGGTCTAGGGTTTAGGGTTTGGGGTTTCGGGGGTAGGGTTTTAGGGTCTAGGGTTTAGGGTTTCGGGTTTCGGGTTTTAGGATTCAGCGTTTAGGGTTTAGGGTCTAGGGTTTTAGGGTCTTTTTAGGGTGTAGGGTTCAGGGTCTATTTAGGGTTTGAGGTTTTAAGGTCTATTTAGGGCCTATTTAGAAATTTCGGGTTTAAGGCTTCAGGGCTGCAGGGGTTTAGGGTTCTAGGGTCTATCTAGGGATTAGGGTTTTAGGGTCTATTTAGGGTTAAAGGCTTTCGGACTCTAGGGGTTTACGGCTGTAGGGTTTGGGGTTCTAGGGTCTGTCTAGGGTGTAGGGCTTTAGGGCTTTGGTCCCTACTTGCTGGTGTTGCACCACGTGCAATACTGCGTATTGAACAATGGTAAGCATGCATGACCACGTCCCAAGTGTGTATATGTGCATACGCATAAACATATATATATATATATATATATGTATATAATATACACACACATACATGCGCAATATGTAAGTACGAGGGGTTCAGGACATCCCTTTCAAGGCTCAAAGCCTTCGCCTTAGTTGAGTTCTTTCCTCCAAAGCCCTACAATCCTAACTTCATGGAATCTGAGCCTCTTGCTACAGAGGTTTAAAGACTGACTGGTGCGTCTTACTGTAGCTTTCGTATGTTATACCCCTAAACCCTATTAGATACTACGGCCCTTTCATTAGTTGTGTTCAAAGCTTTGGGCTTCAGGCTACCCCAAGCCCCAAACCCTAAATCCTAGAGGCACTCCGCCTAGACCTTCGCACGGGCCTGTGGCAGCCACTGCCGCGGCTGCCGACACCCAGGCCGGACAGGTTCTGCCTAAAAGCCCTAAACCCTAAATCCTTAATCCGAGACCCTGAACCCTAAAGTCGTGATAATCGCTATATCCTAAACCCCTCAGACGGCTCATTGCCAATGGCCGGAGTTTCGAAGACGAGTCCTTCTATAAGGGACCTTGAATCCTGCTTACCTTTCTCCGAATTCTCGGTTCGCAAAAACAAGGCCGCCTCTTGGTGTCGGTGCTGTGCACCCTCAAACCCCGATTCCCAAGCCGAGTCTATCTATCGATCCCTAACCGAAACCAGACTAAGGTGCCTAGGGCTCTCGATTGAAGGAGCAGTCATACTTGGGATGTACAGGTAGTCTATTTGCCCGATCCTATAAAGAACCAACTCTGACTGTGGCCTCCTCACAGAATTCCTCTTTTGAAACTAGTATAGGGGCCGAAATAATTACCAATACTATTGTGGGGGTTCCTTATTAAGTTTGTAGTACAATGAGCCCCCAAAGCCCTATACTAAGTACTCAGGCCCCTACATTACTCTCGCCCCTGGCAGATTCGAGTGTGCCGCCGTCTTTGTCCACGATCTGCTCGGGACTCAGATGGGGTGGGGTCTACATTGCTGGCTCTTTTGGTGGGGAGCGTCTATTCTGGTGTGGTGATTGTTGGGATGCTGATAGTAGAAGGAAAGCTTATAGTACAAGAGTAGAAAGCTTCGTATAAGAGCCGGAATAACTGTCAGTACTAGTGTTTGTTAGGGTTACTGCTATTGATTGCTTGTTGTCATAGTTTTGTCATAGTTTAGGCTATAACATACTATACCCCCCCTTCAAAAAGTGGTCGTCTAGTTATCAAGACCCCGTGTCCCTAAACCCCAAACCCTAAACCCTAAACCCTAAACCCTAAACCCTAAACCCTAAACCCTAAACCCTAAACCCTTACAAATTTAAGAGCCAGGAGGCTCCCGGGCTCGGTTTCCAGAGAGCCTCAGAGTCTGCAGAACTCCTGGGTCCATTCTGAAGAGGCTTATGGCGATCTAGGGTTTAGGGTGTAGCTTTTGGGTTTAGGGTTTAGGGTTTAGGGTTTAGGGTTTAGGGTTTAGGGTTTAGTTTTTTGGGGGTTAGGGTTCAGGGCTCTAGTCTAGTAGAGTTTGGAGAGTTTATGACGATTTCGAGTTTAGGGATCTGAGGGAAAGCTTCTGTAAGGGGATGTCATAGACCGCAGACAAATTCCGCAATTTGTAGCGAGTGTCGTACAGATCGCATATACTAGAGACCTACAAATGAGCCCTAGACCCAAGCTACACCATTGAACCGTATCAGCGTTCATCGATACACAGCAACCCACGAAGCACACGCAAAGGTGCATCGTCGCTGGCGGAGCGTCCGTGGCGGGCGCAGCGACGGACGTGGTCGAGGGCTTCGCGCCATCGGAAGGCCTTCTGTCATTTCAAGGGCGATCTGTGCGGAAGTTTGAGACTTGGGGCTCTAGGTTTAGAACTTTGGGTCCATACAGGGCTGACGAGCGTCGGGCCCAGGGTTTAGGGCCCAGGCGTTGAAGGCTCTACAGGGTCTCTTGCTTAAGATTTCGCGTGAAGGGGTTCAGGGGCATGGGTTGAGGGTCTAGAATTCACGGCTCGGAGCTACCGCTGGCTCGGAGCTACCGCTAGAAATCAAGGAAGACTGAAAGAAGCTTGAAGGCACCAGTTCTCAGCAGTTAATCTGTAGCGCAATGCTATGCCCCAACTCTGAAATCTCGGGTGCAAGAGACCGTGGCCTGTGACCACCCCAAATGTCAATGACGGCAACCAGCACCAGTACTCTGGATGCCAGCCACACTGAACTCTTTGGGTTGTCCTAAGACTCAGGGGTCTTTGTGACTGAGGACCTTAAAGGCCCCAGAAACAAAACGCGCCGAAGCCCGACACCCTCAACCCCTCTCCGAAGACCCTCAGAATGCCAGCGGCCCTAATAAACCCCGACAGCCGGGCAAGCAGAGACTGAATGACAAAGAGCCCTGGATGGGTGAAGACTAATGCCCCTAAGCCCGAATTCATAAACCAAAAGTTTTGAAACCTCAAACCCTCTCCTGTGATGGACCCTACACCGTAATCGCCCTGAGCCCTATACCCTAAGCCCTAAACCCTGAGCCCTAAACCCTAAGCCCTAAACCCTAAACCCTAAACCCTAAACCCCTAAACCCTAAACCCTAAACCCTAACCCCTAAACCCCAAGCCCTAAAGGTAAGCATGGCCGCTGGCGGAGCTTACCATCCCTAAGACAGCCTCGTTTCGCCTTCGCGATGGTGGCAGCTCCAGGCAGCTTTCGTTGGTTTTAGGGTTTAGGGTTTAGGGTTCCAGGTTTCTTCTCTTTGATGGGATTTTTCTGTCCCCCAAACCCCAAATCCCAAACCAGGTTTCTTCCAGGTTTCGTCTCTTTGATGTGATTTTGTGTACCCTAAACCCCTAAACCCTAAACCCCAAACCCTAAACCCTAAACCCTCAAACCCTAACCCCAAACCCTAAACCTTCAATCCTAGACCCTAAACCCCCCTAAACCCCAAACCCGAAACCTTCTATCCTAGACCCCGAACCGATAGGGCTTCTGGATGCCTGACTCACACGGAAAAGGGCCGAAAAGAACGCCGGAGCCCTAAATTCCCAAATCTGAGCCCTGAATCGTTTCGTATCGGGTTGCAAGTTTGGGTTGAGGCGGGTTTGTCGAATTAACTACTGCGCTCATTGCAGCCGCGGATCGAGAAGCGTGCTTACGGTTTGGAGAGCATGTTCCCGAAATCCCCTGCCAACGGCCCCAAACCCCCAACTGCCAGAGCCTTGTAGAGTAGGTAGCCCCTGGCCTCGCCCTTAACCCAGTATCGGGTTTAGGGTTTTGGGTTGAGGGTTTGGGGCTCAGGGTTTCGAGTTTAGGGTTTCGAGTTTAGGGTTTAGAGTTTTGGGTTTTCAGAAATTCTGCATGTTGGAGTTCACAATGAAAATTGACCGGGATATCATGGCTCCGTGTTATTCGGTTCATGGCAGCTCCCGCATTATCTGAGGCACCCAAAGATATGGGAACTACAGTCTGTTCCTCACTACGGATGATGCAGGACATGTAAGATGGTGCAAAAGACGTATCATTTGACGGTCTGTGTGTCTATCTGTCTACCTGCCTGCCTGTCTGTCAGGCACCGTGATGCAGTAACACTTTCGAGCCAGCATTCCCTGCAGCGGCACTTGCTGTGATGCTTGCTTCCGGCATCGTGTCAAGCCAGAAAGATGGTAGCAGACGTGCAGATGACGATGTGTGTGATGGCGCTCGTTGTCATGGAGACATTCATGACAGCAGCATCGTCAGTGGAGGCACACCGAGAACGAGATGAGTATGAAGTTGGTGAGGGTTATTGCTTATGGTGGTGATGATGAGAGCGATCACTGTTTTGAGGGTGTTCTTTTCAGGGTAGTTCGTTAAACATCCACGCAGTACAGGAAGCTCGGTTACAGTTACATGTGAAATGCGCAAGGAAACCCTTTGACACGACAGGTCGTCGCTAGGCTCAGACTTGACGCGCACCGTAGCAAGCCCAGCAAAAGTGCGGCGTGCCAAAGCTTGTCAGGCCCTTTTAGACAGTCCTCTTTAACATGGTTTCGTCACTGCTACTCTTGTCATGCTCCTTACACCAAGGACCATCCCCAGCCCCAGAATGACGGGCACAAAGCCCAACATGAACCATACCCTAGACCCTAAACCCTAAAGCCTAAAAACCCCGAGCATGATGCAGCGAGGCCCTTCAGGGCAAGCCCTCTACGCCATCGGCGGTCTCTGTAGCGGCATCACCCTGGCGGTCGTGGACGCTTCGGTGTGCAGTTAATTACAATTGACCCCCAGTCCCCTACGGCCCTTATACTACGTGTAGTACCCCATGTAGTAAGCCTTATAGAAACCTTCACGGAACTTGGTGAAGGTCCCGCTGGACGTAGATGCTAGGTCCTAAGGCCTGATTATAAACCATGCACCCAGGCCCTAAACTCTAAACTTCCAAATGCCTCCACGTTGGACTAAACCCTAAACCCTAAACCCTAAACCCTAAACCCCCTGAACTCTCAGTCGCCAAGGCCATTATATGTCAAAGCGGATCCCGCTCCAACCTTCCAAAGCTAATCTCTCCGAACGTCCCCCGCCCGAGATCCGAAACTCAACAAGCAAAAGCAAGCAAACTATAAGTGTAAAACCCCAATCCTACCTCACACGCACAATGAAGAATGACAAGCTTTCAAACAAACACGTTCAATAATGTAATGAGTCATTTCAACGCTAGGAACCTAAACCTTAAAACCTTGACCCTAGGCCCTAGATCGAACTTAAACAGAACACCCAAGCCCTAAACCCTAAACCCTAAACCCTAAACCCTAAGCTTAAAGCCGTGCTCGTCAGGAGCGACTGGACCTCAGCCGACCAACTGCATGGGAGTTCACGGAACCTCTCGGGAGCCTCGGCGAGTTGGCGCACTCGTTGCTTGTTGTTTGGTTTAGGGTTTAGGGTTTAGGGTTTATAGGGTTTATAGGGTTTAGGGTTTAGGGTTGGTGCTCTTGCTTTATAGGGTTGAGGGTGCTTGTTGATTGTTGCTCTAGAAGTTTGGCTCGCGTTGTTTATATTTAGTTTAAGTTAATGTTTTGGGATTTCAGTTCTTGGTTGCGTTCTGGGGCTCGGAGTTCTTAGTGTTCAGTGCTACAAACTCTACTCCACAATGCCCAACGTCAGAGGTATACCTTCAAACTATCGGAGAATCCTTGAGCCGTTAAACTTTATGGGGATTTTTTGAACATGATTCACGATCGAGTCACTACGGGTTTGGGCGTCTCTAGATTCAGAGCCTCGAGATCCCAAGGCACCCTTTCGAATATAGCAGCCTTAACAATGAGTAATACTATTCCATGGCTTCTCTTTGCATAACGGTATGACTATGTTTTTCGATCACAATGAGCAATACTATTCCATGGCTCCTTGCATGACGGTATAGCTATACTATATCTTAGCCCCCCGAGGCCTGCGTTAATGCTTGAGTATACCCCCCAGCCCAAGTCTAATGCTACAGTATGTTGTTATTGAGGCTCCTGCATTGGGTTCCCCAGTAGAGTTTGGCAGGGTTCTTCAAGGGTTTCATGAGGTTCCTGAAGGGTTCCATGGGGCTTAGGCTTCCCCGGCAGAACCTGTTCTACATTTGTGTTGCTCTGGTGTTCCCTTGCAGCGAAGGACACGAGAAGGAGGGAATTCTGATTGTTGTAAAGAGGAACTACGTATCAGGGTCCGCGATTTGGCGCCTCTGACAAAACAGATACCCAGAGAGGCCATGCCCGATGCCCCCGAAGAACAAGGACGATACTTCAAATCATGCTATGAAGCCCTCTACAGTTTAAGCTGTCTTCCTGAATACAGGGGTATCGGGCTCTTGTTCCTCAGGTTGGGACAGCCCCTCATGTCGAAGACCTTGGACCCGGACGACTTCAAATCCTAATTGAGCCGGCTAGAATGGAGGAAATGCGCACATGGAGCCGTGGTTTAGGATAAAGTTCGACCCCGGAACCCGAAAGCACCAAAGCTTATACTCCTTCAGCCCCAAACCCCAGTGCCCCAGTGATCCTAAACCCAAACTCTACCAACACTTAAACAGGAACCCATCCCCCCCTTAAGCCCCAAACCCACAGCCTTTACTTCGCCTCACTTGAGGCAGCCTCGCCACCACTGCGGCGCAGCCACGGCGGCAGGAAAGGCCCGGGCCTCCTGTGGGAGAAAGACCACGTGACCACATCAGCACGATTCGGTTTAGGGTTTAGGGCGTTTAGGGTTTAGGGTTTAGGGTTTAGGGTTTAGGGTTTAGGGTTCAGCACGATGAATCCGTGTAGTAAGAAGGCTCCTAACGGATACCAGAACCCCAATGTAAGCATGATGATCTAGGGGCATGAGTTACATGAATACGATTTTTGAGTAAGTATGGTTTGGTGAAGCGATTAGAAGGAAGAGCCTCAAGGGCTAGTATTGTTAGTTATTCCGGTTTCTAACGTAGACCAATCAGCATGACCCCTATATCCAAAATGGAAGTGATAATTCCGAAGGCGCGGAGGAAAGGCAGTGCAAGCCCTGAAACCTTAAACTCTAAACCGTACACGCAAAAAGATATAATGTAGGGGTCGAAAAAAATTAGCCATACTCTTTTGAGGGTTCCTGATTATAACTATATGATAAAGGAGCCTAAAGCCTTAATTTAAAAATAAAGGCCCCTACATTGAGTACACTCTTCATGTAGATGGTTCCTGCCCAGATCTTTGTTTTCGGCGGCTGCAACGGCGCAGATGTAGCTTGGCGACTTCCTTGGCCGGAAGGTAGTACGTAATGCGTACATATATGGGGTTGATATTTTAAGGTTCTTGGTGAGTCTACCCTGAACCCTCCCTGTAACTACCCTAAGAGCACTCGCGAGTGTATACTGGGGTTGTCTTGTTTGGGGAGCTTCACATGGGTGCCTGTGGGATGGATCCTCCATGGGCCAAACCGGGAGTCCCCAACACCCCGGAGGGACGTCTACCTCAAAGCGTGCGGAGGATCCTCTCCTGGTGAACTACGGAAGTTTCCGCAGTGACTCACTTGGCGAACTCTGCCAACTAATCATAACGGGTTTCCTCTATCAAATTCAAGGACTGTTCCGCAACTACATGTAGCAGGTTGGGGGGGTCTTTCGGTTCGGAGCTATGTGAGAGCAGCTGGCTTCAAGGGTTTGAGATTTCATTTTTCGCTCGATTTGTACACCCTCATAAACCTGCGACCCTCAACCGTAGACCGAGAAACCTCACCAAACATTGCGTTCAAGAAACCCTAAACCCTAAACCCTAAGCCCCTGATGGCTCCAAACATTGCGTTCAAGAAACACGCAGACTCTCAGCCCCTAAACCCT